CTGTACGCAAACACTGCTTTTAGGTTTCCGTTGTTTGTGTTGGTGGCTGAGGGAACTTGAACTTCACTGAGTACAGATTGGTCTCTCAAGATTGCCTCTAAAGCAAACTAGTGATTTTTTGATGTTGATTTGTCCCATACCCACAGCAAAGAGGAAAAAAAAAAGTGTAAAAACGCAAAATGCTTGGAATTCTTGTTAGAGGATTAGAAAACTGAATGAGAACACGAGTCTCTGAATCCCATTCCACTCTCCAGAGAATAAAGATGCGTTCATAACGATGGCGTCAGGTACTAAGTAAACATCAGAAGGCAGAAGAGGAGTTTTGAAAGAACGCAAATTCTTTCTACCACAGTGATCGCAGGAGTGGTGACAAAATGATTATTCTTAAAGACTAAAATGAAAACTTCAGACCCAATAAGATCCCTGAGCTCCCCAGATTAGAGAATAGCTCAGAGTTCAGTATAAGGGTCCAAGTGAAAATACAAAATTTTAAATATTTTGCGTGTATCTTTGTTTTTATCTTTCTTTGACTAAAAAATAAAGAACAAACATTTAAGCTTGCTTACAAAATATACCAATAAAATGCTTTTTTAAAAAGTCACAGGAGGGGCGCCTGGGTGGCTCAGTCGGTTGAGCATCCGACTTCTGCTCAGGTCATGATCTCACGGTTCGTGAGTTCGAGCCCCACATCCAGCTCACTGCTGTCAGCACAGAGCCCACTTCAGGTCCCTTGTCCCCTTCTCTTTCTGCCCCTCCCTCACTCATGTGTGTGCTCTCTCTCTCTCTCTCAAAAATAAATAAACATCTAAAAATAAGAAGTCACAGGAAACATTAGGAAGAAGGGAAAATAGGTTAGGAGAAATAGTGTGAAGCCAGAGATAAAATTAATACACAAAATGCTTACTGTGAAAATCCTCTACACTTGCTAGATATGGGCCACAATTTGACTCTGAGCTTCCTAGCAGCCCATGCAAGGAAAGAAACAAGGCCAGCCATATCACTCACAATGTTCATTAGATAAAAAAACAAATCAGGAGCTTAATTCCAAGACCAGAAAGGAATTTCTTCCATATGCTTTCAGTCAAAGGGCCTATGTAATATAGTGAACAAGGCCCTAAAAACATCCTTACTGGAAATAAAACAATGAGTGCTGTGGGGTTGGTGTTGACAGTCTTCCTTCTTTAAGTCAATGGCATGACTCCATGTGGGTTCAAACCAAAAACATCCTACCAGGGCAGAGAGCACGTGATCATCTAAGTGTATTGTTCAAACCTAAAATAAATGCTAACAAGGACTAGAGCTCAGGGCGCCTGGGTGGCTTAGTCGGTTAAGGTTAAGCGTCTGACTTCAGCTGAAGGCATGATCTCAGTCTGTGAGTTCGAGCCCCACATAGGGTTCTGTGCTGTCAGCTCAGAGCCTGGATCCTGTTTCAGATTCTGTGTCTCCCTTTCTCTCTGCCCCTCCCCCACTCACACCGTCTCTGTCTCTCAAAAATGAATAAGTGTTAAAAAAAATTAAAAAATAAAAAAGACTAGAGTTCTTATGCATGACTGTGTGACTGCCATTCAGACAAGTCTTCCTAAATGTTGTTTAATTCAACCAAATGTTTGCTAAGTATCAAACAAGAGTGAGTTTTAGGTTGTGGCTCCGATCTGACAAGGACCCTTGATATTCTATATTGCTGGTTAAGGGCAGACCTGAATGTTTAAACAGACAGCTGAGATTGGGGCAGGGTTAACAGCCTCTTCTGAAAGTCAAGGAGCCTGAATAGAGGTCACCAGATATACCCATACTGTAGGGGGCGGGAGTGGGGGGGGGTGGCCGGCAGGACCCAGGCAGGGCCATTTCAGTCTTACCCTCACACACAAATGACCAACACCTCAAATTCTTAGGCTAGTATTCCTGACCTTTCCAAGCCCAAGAACCATTTTTAATGCCTGCCCACCCGCACCTCCCTGCCTCAAGCATGTATAGTCATTATAGCTTTGGAACTGGCTGACTGAAAAATATTTAAAACGACAGACTCCTTTTTAAAAATTAGGCATGTAGGGGCACCTAGCTGGTTTAGTTGGTAGAGCATTGCGACTCTTGATGTTAGGGTCATGGGTTTGAGCCCCATATTGGGTGAGGAGTCTACCTAAAAATAGTAAATATTTTTTAAAAAGAACAATAAAAATTAGGCATGTAATAAATGCTCATTATAGAAAAAACTGTAACTGTGTGTGGTAACTGATCTTAAATAGAATTATTACGATTACTTTGAAATATATACAAATATTGAATCATTTGTAGAATGCCTGAAACGAATATGTTATATACCAACTATACCTCAATAAAGAAAAAAGAAAAGAAGGAAGGAAGAAAGAGAGAAAGAAAGAAAAGGAATAAGTGAAGATAAAAATCACGAGTATTTTGGCTGCCCAGCCTCTAGGACAGGTGGCAGGCAAGGTTCTTATCTATTCCTCTTTATGGAACCCAAAGGGGAATCAAATATTCTCATTCAGCTTCTTTATAACTAGTACATCATCATGTAACCTAAACTAGACAGTTAGGTGTTTCTGTCTAATTGAATTGTGAAGGAATGATGGAAAGGCCCTATGGTCAATCAGATAATATTCACAGTGGCTGAAGCAGAGTCGGGAGTTTAACAGCATAATCCTGAGAGGCCAACAGCAATAACGTCAGGGCCAGCATCCCAGGCAGGCTGTTACTAAGAGGACACTGCCATCAAAATGGCCTCTCTATTTTCAGCAGAAGGTCCCAGAGTGGCAGTGTGGCTTCTCTGATGTGTCAGTTCACAGTCCATTGAATTGAATGAAGACTGGGTCCCCTTGGAAAAGAAAACAAACATGGGATAACATCAAAAATGTATTCTGCCTATCTTACTGCTGCTTTTCCTACAGGGGATCTGACCATGTGTCAGGGAATCTGTGCCCCAAGGAAAACAATGAATACCCCCTTTCAGGGGATTTGGGATGCTAGCTCAAGCCAACAGTAATCCCAGGGGCCACTACACCACTGGGTTGAGTGATAAATGGAGACTTGATTGAGTTCCCGCTCATAGTAGGGCTGCTGGAACCCTGAGCCCATTACTTCTCCAAAGCCTGGGTGTAGGATTGAAACAGATGCCTTAAACCTCAGGCAGAACCCTCGCATTGGTTCTCTGACCCAAAAGTAAGGGCTATTATGACAGGAAGGGCAGAGGAGAAGCCCTTGGAGTCCCCCCACTGCCATCCAACAAACGGCAAATCTGAAGGAAGACCAAGCCCAGAAGGAGTACAGCCATTAGTATCACTGTGAGTGAGTGTGTGTGTGTGTGTGTGTGTGTGTGTGTGTGTGTGTGTGTACAGGGGGATGATTACTCTCTCAGTCCTACACAAGTCTCCCATTTGGCCAGTGCCGAAGAAAGTGTGGGACAGGAGTGGACAACAGTGAGTCCCCTCCATCTTGCTTCTAGACTTTGTGCTGGAATGACCTTGACCATCTCACTGCCCTATGGAACACCATGTCGGTCCACCTCATTGATGACACTGTGCTCAGACTAAGGTGAGCCTTAGAAGCTCTCACAGGACATGGGTTCACTGAGTTTCCCCAAATATTATCAACAGTTCAAAGAAAGATATTGATTGTCTTGGCCTTTCCCTCACAATGACAAGTTGGCTGTCCCAGGTCCAAATATCAAATCCACATAACAGTGTCCCAAACAAGATGGAAAATGATGGGCTCAAAGGGGTTATTCACCTTCCTTGGTTGGGAAAGAAAATCTTTCCCAGAAGTCTCTCCAGGGGACTTCCTCTTGTGTTGGACTGGCTAGAACTGAGTCGCAAACCCACCCCAAGACCAATCACTGGCAAAGAGGAGCAGGAGTATCATAGGTAGCTTAATCTACCAGTGATTCAATCCCTGGCCCTTTGTAACAAAGTCAGAGCTCGGCGAGCATGGAGTGGCAGCGAGTAGGGAACCACCAATGTTTGCCACAGCCAGTAACCTCACACTGTCACTGTCTAATGTTGAAAACCAATGTAAACTAAATTGTCAATAAAGTCACAGAAATCATCCTTGGAAGAAAACGAAAGCATACCTCTAGATCTGCCCAATATGATAGCCCCTGACTACCTGTGGCTACTTAAATTTAACCTAAAAATAATTGAAATTAAATAAAAATTTGAATCGAGTCACACTAGCCATATTTCAAGTGTTCACCAGCCACTGTGGCCAGTGGCTACCATACTGGACAGTAAAGACATAAAGTATCTTCATCATCACAGAAGGTTCTATTGGCAACCACAGCTTCTGCTGCCAGTGATAAGTGAGAAGAGGCTTCTCTAAAGCTATGAGGTGAGGGTTTCACTGTCCCACCAGTGTCATGCCACTATCGTGTCATCGGCAACACCCCCATCACCTTTGCCCAGCACAACCCGAAATTGGGGAGCTGAGCAGTCTCCAAGCCAGAAATCGCAGAAGCTTTCTGAGCCGTGGGGCCACATTCAACATACAGATTTGGCAATGAAACCCGTGTTTTCGTGCACTCACGGAGTCCGTCCTGACTGAATCCTCAATGCATCTCTCTGGGCAGGAGAGGTGCTGGCCGGGAGCTGGTTGAGCAAATAAAGTTATCATGAGATTAATATTTAATGGTTTTCTTGTCCTACGCCAGGCACCCTGTGAAGAGTGGTCATGAAGTCACCCACTGCACGTGTCCCCAAAATACACACGCTTCCTATAGCTCATCAGCGAGGGCACTAAGGAGCTGCAGAAGGGGCACAGAATGAGACAGGGGCAGGAAGTGCATGGGGAGCGCTATCCCTCAGGTCCACCCCATGGACACAGCTGACATTGTACTTGATTGTCTATAAACGGGTGCGCGTGTTGAACCCTGGCGGAGGAAGAGGAATGTGTCCTGTGATAACCCCCCCTAGTTCCACTCTAACCTCCAGAGGCCTGACAACTAAGTGCCAGCTGGAGTGAGGTTGGTACATTCATATCCTGGAGGAGATAAAGGCCCCATTCGGCTCTTGGAGACCGCAGCCACTTCCTGGCCACTACCGGCCAGTACCATTCTCCTGCGAGGTTGGCTCTTGGGAGACTCCTGCTCAAACTCTAACTTGACCTGGCCAGGGGGATTTTAAAGGAGGACCAAGTTGAGTGGCTTCGAGGTCACCCCACGCCACTGCAGGACAGGTCAGCTGCTGCTCCCCTCCGCGCTGTGCCAGAGGCTCAGACATAGGCGGATCCTCGTGAAGTCACCTTGAGGCCAAGGCCAGGGCAGCAGGTGCAGACAGCCTCCCTGGGATTGCATGCTGAAGCTGCATTTTGCCAACATTCTGCCAGGCTGAAGCTGCAGACATGCTGGCGATGCTCAGGCAAGCTTGTCACCTGCTCCCGGCTGCCAGGCAGAGCTGGCGGGTGTCCCCGCTCTTGCATGGATGCTCCTTCAGCTGTGACTCCCAGGTCTCCTAGTGCATGCCTCGGAGGGGGATGGGTGGGGGCGGGTAGAATGCTCAGGCACCAGCTGAGTACGCATTTCTGCGGATGGGGGATCGCCTTCCTGCCCCCCACGCCCTCAGCCTGTGTAGACGTGCCCAGGGGGCCTGCCCCCCCTCCTGCTGACACCGCTGACCCGTCCTGGGCCTGGCAAGGGTGCAGTAAGGATTAGAGCTAGGGTCTTTCTGCCCGGCCTTCTTAACAGACCTTCACTAGACCCTCACTTACCTAAAGTTCAAGTAAAACTGAGACGCTTGACCCTCATAGGAGCATGAGCCGTCACAGAGATCTACATCCCCAGTGCCCTGGCAGGAACCAGCCCTGGTCAGGTAGACGATGAAAGGGAACAGAATACCTCACCCAAAAATGCCACTTTGGCATGTGGACTATTTGAGCTGAAGGCAATCAAGACCCAAAATGTTCAGGAAAAGATTTTTACCTCTCCTTTAACTGCCTAAAAGAATTTAGATTGGGGACTTGGCCCAGAAAGAGAATCATTACCAGATATATAGATATATATATATAGATATAGATATAGATATATATATACACATATATATATATTTTTTTTAATTTTTTTTTATCTGAGAGACTCACCTGCATGGTAGGGCCAACATCTGATTACCAGACTTTTGCCTTCTCATCGTCCTGTGAGTTGCCCTCCTGCCCTTTGGAGCCCCCAGGCCCCTATCCCTTTCCTCAGCTCAGGACAACAAGTGAGCCTCAATTGCCTCCCATAAGGATGTAATTAAATTTCTTTTTCTCCCGTTAACCTGCCTTATGTAAATTTCGTCATTAGACCAGCCAAAGAACCCAGAAAGGAAGAAAGGAAAACAAACGTTGCACCTCGACAACAAGGAAATGAAGTCCTAGCACAGGGGTGCCCTCGTGGTCATGCGGCAGCGGGGACCCAGCACAGGGGCTGCTCCACTGTCGGGCCCACAGCGCCCCCATCAGACGCAGTCTTGAAACCTTTCTGGCTCCAGCCTTGGTGCTCTCTGAGTCCCGGGGTCTCCTCCAACTTCTTTCCCCTTCACGGTCTTCCTCACATTGAAGATCTTTCTCCCTCTACTGGGATCCCCAGGAGGCCATACACTCTCCCCAGGTCCCACTTTCCTTGGAGCTCCGAAAACAACTGTTTCGTGGGTGAAGAGAAAGGAAGGAAAGATGTAAAGGAAGACCAGTGGGGAAGGAAAAAAGACTTAGGGACAGGGGAAGAGAGGAGAGGAGGGGAAGGAGGAGTGGGTAGAAGGAGAAGGGAAGGAGGGGGAGGGGAAGGGGGAGGAGGATGGGGAGCGGGATGGGGAGGCAAAACGAGAGAAGGGTTGAGGGGTAGGGGAGAGTGGGGAGAGAAGGATGGGGAGGGGAAGGAGGGAAGGGTTGAGGGAATGAAGAAGGAAGGATAGCCTGAAAGATCGGGAGACTAGAGGAGAAAGGAGGTACCGGAAACCAGACCAAAATCACTCCTTTTTCTCCAAATCAACACTTTTCTGTCACTCTTCCTACCAAGTTCTGCTTGAGGGACCATGAGGAAGCAAATTGTTCCAGAAATCCCAGTTTCACTCTACATCTTCATTGAAAACCAGAGAAATCAGAAAAAGCCTATTTGTTTCATGATATTGTTGAGGGCACGGACACAGAGGAGGGAAAAATAATCTTGGCTTCCTGCCTCTTTTTTTTTTAAGGTCTTTGTAGTTTCCTGTTAATTTAATCCCTGAACCTTCGCCATGTAAATAGCGCAGGTAAAGATAAACTTCACTGGCCCTGGACTCTGACCTTTGTTTAACACCCACCCCTTCTCTGATTCATTCTCCATCCCACCTCTGGAAGGCTTGGAATTGTTACCTGGAAGTTTAAAGCCGAAGAATAAATAGAATAAATAGCTCGCGGCAGAGCGTGTTGGTTTTAGACAAGCCTGGCAAGACAGTCCAAAAATAAGAGCAATGCTCTAGTCAGCTGCTGTGTCTTCCTCTCTTCCTCAAAGAAGTGACCTCGCTGGGGTCCATTACCTGTCTATTCGCTAGGTAGGACTCCCACAGGCTGTCGCCTCTGCACTTCTATGCACCCAGGCTGTGCTTTGCTGGCCCTGCATTGTACCATTTACTTAGACAAGAGTGATTTAGCAAATGATTTAATCGCTCTTACTCAGTATTGTTGAGCACCCCTGTATTTATTTCTTTTCTTGTTGGAGTGCTTCCTCTAACAGTGTTTTCAAAGGGTGGCTATTTGCGAGAAAACTTCCGACCCTTTAAATACCTGATAATTTAGCTAGAAATCAAAAATCTAGGTTCGAAGTTCTTTCTCTTTGATACTTTAAAAGTATTATTCAACTATCATCTTAAATGCAGTGGTGCTGTGAAGAAATCTGAAGTCAATCTGATGTTTGTTCCTTCCTCAGCCCTCTGCTATCCAGGTGCCTGGAATACAGATGTGATGGCTGGCGTGGACGCTGCCAGCTTGGATTATGAAGATGAGATGGGGGAATAGTGATCTGGATTGAAACCTGAGTCCTCAAGAACTAGTGATACAAAGCTACTATGTCGGCCATGAGCGGTCCACCCCCACACTTCTACAAAAGGGAAAAATAAACTTTCACTGTGTTTGGAGTCTATATTATCAGTAGCTGTTATTTGGAGTCTGTGTTATTAGTAGCTGAAATGAATCATAATTCATGTCTTAATTAAATCTGATTAGTTTTCCCAGTGATTGATACTCACCTGGATATCAGCTACCCTGGAAGAGGCTAAAGCCTAAATCCTACCTTGTATCCCTCCTGGGGAGCTCAAAGAAGGGAGGGTGGTGGTGAGGACAAGGGAATTGCCTCTGGCATTACAGTGTAGACTTGGCTACCTCCAGGTCCCTCAGACCCCCCTCTGACCCTTACCAGGCACCTTGCTCAAGGGACTTCTAGGCACTCTCCCTTGGCCGCTCCTCTTTTCATGAGCTAGGTCATGTGAGTGGAATGCCCTGACCCAGGCAGGGGGAAGAAGGGCCTGGACTTCGAGGGGCTGCCAGGTCCGGTTGTGCTATGCTTCCAACTCCAGCCTGATGTTACCATTCCTGGCTAGCACAACCATTTTCTGCCTCAGAGCGCCATGGCAGTGATGGCGATAACTGTGGAGCTGGGGCTGGGCAATGATCCATCCAAGCCGATGCGTGCAGAGAAAAGTACATGTTGTGAGACATTCGCTCATCCTACGCCCTTCTAGGGCCCCCAGCCCTTACCTGCAAGGGATTGCTGTTTCCTTCCCACCCTCCATGACCCAACCACCTGGTGCCTCCAAGGAGGTAGGATTGCGGGGGAGGGGGGGAGAAGTTCTCATGGTTTGTGCGTTGCTTTCTTAATCCTCATCAACCCCCCTCTTGTTTCTGTGGCATCTTCAAGATTGTATTCACAGGAAGAGGCCAGCATCTCAAGTACGTGACCCTTTTGTCAGCTCTGCATTACTTTTCTCATAGCACCGATCACCATCTGAAGCTATTATTTATGTGTGTATTGTTTTCTCTCTCTCTCTCTCTCTCTCTACAAGTCCCCACTAGAACAGCCTATCCAGTAGGGTAAGCTGTCTCCCCAACACCGGGCACAATACACGGCAGAGATGCTCAGTACATACAAGTTGAGGGACTGAATCACTGAGCTGGTGCTGGAACCTAACCCTGATTCTGGCCCAGGGCTTCCAAATCTTGGGCTTTTCCCACCCAAGCCCCTGGATCTGTGCCCTGAACAAAGACCGTACACAATGAGAAGAGCTTTCTATGAACTAGGCTCACGACAAAGATATGGGCTCCTTACTCCAAGCACTGGCTAAAACAACTGCTGAGTAATTTCGACTTAGGGCAGGGCTGCTTGCACATCTTCAAATTCCCACTGCTTGCACACAGTAGGTGCTCAAAAAAGGTGTGATTTATTGAATGGACATACAATTTCTCCAGGAGGAGATATTTCAGCATAATTATGGGGGGGGCAGGAAATAGGGTAACTGAAGAGCACATTGGGGGTTATATGGTGAAGGAGAGAGCTGAGCATGAATATGCTATTGACCGAAAGGGAGTCAGCGGAAGTAAAGCACTGTCCACTGCCACAGCCATTAACCTCGTGCAGCTATTTACATTTCATTAAAATGAGATAAAATGTAAAATTCAGCTCCTCAGTTGCTAATAACAGCCACATGTGGCTTGTGACTATTGCATTGGACAGTACGGATCATATAAAATATTGTCATCATCAAAGAATGTTCCATTGGACAAAGCTGACCTAGACCCTTAGAATGAAAGTAAATGCACCCCTGCTTCTAACTTGGCCTACTGACATCCCCTTGTCACCCCCTAAACCACCACTACCCCTGCCCAGATCACAGCACCACCGGTGCCCCTATCTGCCTTCTTAAGCTTTCTGCTCCACAGGGAGTAAAGCTGTCGGCCTTCTTAGTTTTCACCTCCTTCCCCCCCAGCACCTGGGGCACTGCCCTGTGGACGATAAGTATTTGCTGCAATAATGACCCCTCAATTAGCTTCTGTTAAATGCTAAGACCCAAAAGGTGAGTTAAGTGACAGAAGAGAAGAAATCCCCCTTTCCATTCTTTTCTCACCTCTCTACCCCATTGTCTGCTTTCTGTCTCTGGTGCCCCCCCCACCCCACCCCTCCATCAACTCTAAAGCGGCACAGTTAGAGGAAGGTTAATTGTCAGGCTCGGGTGATGATCTCATGGCCAGGGGACGGAGCCTGGAATCAAGCTCCACACTGACAGTGTGGAACCTTCTTGG